TCAATACTAATTCCTTCTTTCTTCCTGTTATGGTAATGGTATCTCATTAATAAACTGTATATTGATCCCACACTCATAAATATTTTGTGTATCGTCATTCCTCATTTTGCCATTCGGGCCGCCTTGTTCACGTGGTCCTTGTGGTCATCCATGTCTCGGGTGAACAAAGGGACGAACGGGCTCGACTTTTGGGTACTGTTATACCGAATGGAGCGGCAGTCTTATCGAGTGCATTTTATGTCAACTGCAAATAGTTTGTGGCAGTTTAGGATGGCAACTTTTAAATCTTTTCATAAATGCAACGATATATAGATTTTATTTTAAAAATTTCAGAGTACTGTGCCTTCAGAGTATGAAATGAAGTATCACAGTTTGTAATGTAGTGTAGATAATGTGGATTTTGGAGCATTTTTAATGGAAATTGGGTGATAAATGGTGTTCTTTCACAAATGGTTTCAGTTGTGCTAATTTTATTTTTATTGCTAGGAAGCAAAGTTTTGAATTCTGGTTTTTTTGGCACATTTGTGGTATGTGTTGTCTCCTTACACATATTTAGATTTTGAATAAAGCTATTAAACTCGAGTCACTTGTAGGATTACTTAAACTCGGCCGGTTAAAAGTCATTGGGTTTTGACTAGGCTCGAGCTTGTTTAGTTAACGAGTCAAATCCGTATCCGCTTGTTAGGCTTGAGAAATAGCAATTTATTTAACTTTTCGAACTATCAGCTTTGGTCGGGTCGTTAATTTTGATAAGAGAACCAAGTTCGAGCTCATTTATTGGATCTATTAGTCAACAAGCTCGACTCGACTCTACTCGCTCGTACATTTGAATCAACATAATAATACATTGGCAATTGCAACACGTAATCCTGCTCCCCCATAATCAAAAAAGCAGGGACCTTGACTGTAGGATCTTGGATACGTATTTCACCCTGCGTATCCATTGACCTACGATGAAACACAATTATCTCCGACCCCGTTCACAGAAATCTAGTCTCTTATTTTTTTCGTTGATGAATTCAGTAAAACAGGTTGAGTTCTCCAGCAAAAGCGAGTCAAGACTCAAGAGACTTAAAGAGAAGGATT